GCCCTCAGGGAGGCTGACAGGAGTGGATGCTGGAGCTGGGCCTGTGCTCAGTTACATAGGAGCTGGCCCAATGAGAGAGGTTGGGGAGGGTTAGTGGGGGTGGGCCGCCTCCCAGTCGGCTGTGGATCCCAGGCAGATGGGTCTGTTTCTGGCCTGGCTCGAGAGGATTCCAGGGGCCTCTCCCAGCAGCCGGCTTGTACAGGCTCCTGCTCCAGGGGGTCTCCCTGCAGTCATTGCCAGGAGGTGCCCCCTGCTAGCTATCCACCCACAGTGAGTTTCTCTCCAGGGAAAGCCCCTTGGAGGAGCTGACCCCCTCCTCCTCCTGCCCAACCCAGTAGCCCTGCCAGGGTGCTCTGAGCTGCGCTGACCTTGGCACCGGCCAGGTTCCAGGCATAGGACACTATCCAGGGCCTCATCCCTGACCTTAGCCATGTGACTGACCCCTGTTCTACCCTCTGTTTGTCATCTTGGGGTCTCTGGCCTGCCCTCCACATGCTGTGCCCCTCCCCACGTCCAGGCTTTTGTTCCCAGGGCCACATTCCCAGCACAGGGCTTCAGTTGGCCTCCCGGGCATACTTTCCTAGGAGGCACTGCAGGCCACAGAAGGCGGGGATCGTGATTGGGGGCATCACCATGTCCCCCACATGACTCACAGAACTGGCACAAAGTGGAGCCCAGACCTCCCAGAGGGCAGATGGGTCAGGCCACAGCACCGGCTCTGGAAAGCCCAGAGTGCAGCCCCCAGGTGGCCACAGGAGAGCAGGAGCATTGGGGACTGTCCCTCCCCCAGGGCCTGTCTGGGAGCCCTGACCTCCCTTCTCCCTCGGCCCCACTCCTGCTCCTCTGATCCAGACAGAAATGCTTGCAAACCCCTCACCCTACCCCAGCAGTCATGGTCCTGGAGATCCCTCGGGGCAGCCCAGCCCCACTGTAGCCTCACAGGGTCCCACAGGACGGCCCGCCCCATCCAACACCCCTTGGACCCCTCACCCAGGACATCAGAGCAGAGAAGAGATGCCCACTCTGGCCCCCAGCCCAGCCCAAGGCCCCTGCTTGCCCACCTCAGGCTCCCACAGGCAGTCAGGCTGTCGCCGGCCAGCTCATGGCCCCTGAGGCCGCTGTCCACTCTGGGGCAGCAGTCCTGAGCTCAGCCAGCACAGCAGACCTGTCCCACAGTGTCACTGTCGCCCATTCCTGCATTCTCAGACTCATACCTGGCATCCAGCCTGCCCAAGCTCCTTCCATTCACACCCTCCTCCTGGGGTCCACAGACGAGGAGCACAGAGGCGCATGGTGCACCCAGGAGCCTGAGATGGCCTCTCCCCTCCTGGCCCACCCCAGGAGCTGCAGACTGTGGCCCCTGCTGAATCTCCAAGGCCAGCCTCCAATGGGCCCCCAGCAATGGGGACGCGTCCAGGTCCCAGGGCAACTCTCGGGCACCTCCACAGCCCTGGTGGCCCTTGGCGTGTCCTACTGGCCACCTGGACCCTCCCTGTCCTGCCAGCCCCGCCTGTAGGCACCAGGCCTAGGTCATGTCAGGGGCCTCAGGCAGTGGTCTACATGATTCCACAACTAGCGATGCTGCCCAGAGCAGCAACAAGGGCCCACCTGCACCCCGCAGCATCGCCACACCTTCAGGCAGCTCCCTGACCCCAGGCCTGGTATCCCTCCCTAGAGCTGGAGGTCTGTGCTTGGGAAGTGACCTTAGGGCCACTGGCTTTAAGTGACCAGACTGAAATCACAGGCTATGGGCACAGGTAGTGTCTAGCACAGCCAGAGGGGTAACCAGGAGGGCACGAGCCTGGGCACCCACAGGCAAAGATTGAGGGGCTAGAAGCTCAAAGCCCGCACCTCACATGGGAGGGAGCCCAGGCCCTGCGGCTGCCCTGCACCCCCAGGGACAGTGGGCACAGAAGCCCCCGGGCTGAGCTCCTGGTCCACCCATCAGCCCTCCCCAGAGGGGCTCCATCAGCACCCTCTCCACAGTGGGAAAACAGGCACGGAGCAGCCCACACAGCCAGCGAGGGAGGAGGCTGGGAGCCCAGGCGGACAGCCCAGAGCCCTGAGCTGACCCTGGTCCCCACCTGCCCAGGTGCAGCGGCCACTCAGGGAGACGCCTGACTCCTGTCCACGAAGCTGCATGTGAGCCTCATCCGCCAGGACAGGACCTCAGGGAACCCAGGGGCCCCTCGATTAAGGCCCATCTCCCAGCCATGCCTGCAGCTCAGCTGCCCAGGGCGATGCCGGCCTCACCAAGGCATCCTAGAGGGACCGTGGCTCCAGTCGGACAGCGTGGGCAGCTGTGGGTTTTGTCCTCCCCTGGGCCCTAGAGACGGGACATACTGTCTGGGTCTCTGACACTGTGGGTCCTGGGTACAGCTCCCACAGCTCCTGTGCTCAAAACCCGCTGCCCCGCTCCCTCCTGCCATCCTGCAACTGTCGTAGGAGGCTGGACCTCACGGAAGGCTGCCGTGCAGAGCACCAGGCAGACCCAGGGATGCTGCAGGCAGGGGGAGCCCCCCCACCTCCGCGCTAATGTCCACGGCTGGCACTCCCGGCAGGAAAGTATAGTCGGTGGGTCTGCACCTCCTGCCCAGAGCTGGCCCTCTCCTCCCTCCCGCCCCAGGAGGGCAGCCCACAGCCTGTCCAGAGGCCGAGAGGACAGGCCTGGGCCGTGGATGTGGAGGACGGTCAGCTGGCTCATCCTCTCCGGACAGCCCCCCATCCTGAGCCCCTGTCCCCTGGGCCCCAGTCAGGCTGCTCCTCCTCTTTCCCTGCGCGCGGATATGGATGCGCCAGGACTCCCTCCGCGGGGCGGGGGCTGGGTCGAGGTGAGATACTCCAGTGCTGGTTACCACCGTGGCTGGCAGCCCCCCAAATACCAACCAGAACCTCAGGGGGAGCCCGAGAAGGGATGGTGGTGGCTCCGGCCCCAAACGTCTTCTGTTGCTGAGCTGACCCCCAAGAGCTCCGTGAACCCGGCCCACCTCCCGCCAACCCCACCGTGCTGGCCTGTCTCCCCAGTCCCAGCCCCCCTGGCCCAGGACCCGGCCCGCACGGCAGGGCAGGTGGAGACGGTACTGCTGGGGAGGCTCCACTGAGGGGGCTCCCACAGAGAAATAGGGGAAACACCGCGTGCAACCCTCTCAGGGCGGAACAACCCCCACAGTGGCTCAGATCCAACCCAGAGGCCTCTCCTTGAGCCCCCTGCTCCTCTGACCCCGAGGTGCCCCCTCCCACAGCCCTCTCACTGACCGACTGACCACCACACAGCCTAGCAGGACGCCAGGCCACCGGACCCGGCTGAGACTGTGACTCAGAGATGGGGCGGCCGGGCTCCACACCCAGCAGGAGGGACCCTCTCTAGCTGCAAGGCAGGTGGGAACCACTGGCTTTGCCCCAGAGCCCACCCACCCACGGGGCTCGTCCCCACACTGGACCTGGCTGAAGGCCACCGCAGGAGCCACACACACTGGGGGCCCCCGGAGCTCAGCGGAAGAGTCCAGCGTGGAGGGACCCCCACCCCTCCATCAGAGCCAGACAAGATCCAAGGGGCACTGAGCCCCACCACGTCATGGGGTTTCTGATCTGGTTTGTGTCACTGTGCTACGGTAGCGGTTGGCCCACAGTGACACTGTTTAGGACAGAAACCCTGCAAGGTCAGCCCACCAGCAGGGGAGCCTGCAGTCCAGATCTGAGGTGTGAATCCCACCCCCGCCAGCAGACGACCCCATGTCCTCGCCCTGCATTCTCTGGTGGACATTGACAGCCTGATGGGGCTCCTGGGCCTACACATCCCCCGAGATGCAGCCAGGTGGGGCCCCCACAACTCCCCGGGTCCTTGATAGTCTGTGTGCAGCCTGAGATGGCATGGGTGTCACTCAGGCTGGAACTCAGTGCCTCAGGCCACTCGTCCAACCTGCCACAAAGACCACACTTGCTGGTCCAGTACCCCCAGCAGGAGCCCCCCACCCAGCAGTCCCCCCCTCCCCACAAAGGCCCTGAGGCCAGGACGCAACTATGAAATTTTGAGCAGCCCCATATCATGGTACGTATAGTTGGAACGTGAGAGAAGCCACGGCTAAAACTGTCCTTGTGGGCTCCAGGGGCCCAGCCCAGGCCAGAGGTCACAGAAAGTCCAGGCCAGAGGTCAGCGAGCAGAGCCCAGCTCCAGGCCAGGCGCTGTCCTCAGGTTATCCCAGACTGCCCTCAGTGTCCCCATTCTGTGGTGAGGACAGGGACTGGGCTAGTCCGTGGGGGCTGGGCCCCATCCTCACCCTCCTCTGTGGTCAAGGGGCCCCTGACCGGAGCTGGCCCTCAAGCTGGTTGTCCCACTCCTGCCACCACGGCCCTGGGACAAGGGACCAGCAGGCCTGACCCCTCATGTATGTCATCTAGAGAACAGATACCCCACTCGGGGTCCCCAACATCCAGGAGCCCCAGAGCCTGGCTGGCCCCATGCATCACTGGGACCACAAGGCCCCCGTCCTCTGCCCCTCGCCTGGGGCTAGCAGGGGTGCGAGCCCTTGGGGAGCAGACTCGAGGGCACCACGGTGGGGCTGGAGCTCAGAAAGCCCGGCCGGGTGGCCAGCACGCAAGGTGACGGTCCGCTGACAGGTCTCCAGGAGCAGAGCCCCCAGTTGAGGCGGCTCTGGGAACACCAGCACGGAAGGGGAGCCTCCATCTGCAGCCCACCTACGGCCTAGCCCACGGCTCTGCCCTCGTGCGGGACCGTCATCCAGGCAACGTCCTCCATGAGCCCCATGACACAGTCCCCTCGGGTCCCCATGGACCTCTGTCCCAGCTTTGGGGACTCAGCTACAGCAGGAAGCCAGGGTGGCCTTGCCCAAAGCAGGACTCCCAAAGCACGAGCCCAGCTCAGAGCAGGGCCAGGAGCTCTGCATTCACACTCGCGTCCCCAACCTGCACCTGCCGCCCATCACCAGGCTGTCTCCAGGAGGGTCAGGGGCCCCACGCTGGGGGCTCACGGCGCCACTCACCAGGTGCCTTCCTGTCAATGGCTCTTCCTATGGGTCCCAACAGGCTAGCCCGGTCACAGGTGGGCAGCGGGCCTGAAGGACAGCCGAGGCCCCAGGCAGCCTGCTCCCTGGCAGCGTCCAGGGCACCACAGGGCACCACCACCCCCCAGACCGCCCTGCACACAGGAAGCAGATAGGCTCCACCAGCTCGGGGCCTCCAAACCCACAGAGCCCTTCCTGCCTCCCTTCCTGCCTGCACGCCCCTCCCCTCGCTCCTACCCCTCCCCTCCCATTGCGCCCTGGCCTGCAGGTTCTCAGTCCTTCAGAGCTGGCACAGCCCTGTGCTGTTGCTCCGCCATTCCTTTGCTCCAGGCAACAATGTATCTCTTCACTCGCTCCCTACGTCATGGTGCTCCATTCATTCACTCCCTCATTCACTCATTCCTCATCCCAGCACACCTGAGCGCCCCTGGGAGTGACCACAGCACTCACAGGCTGTCCCCTGCTCCTCCCAGCACCGCCCCCACCTCAGAGGGTTGTCACTCTCCTCCTCTCTGGTCTGTCACCTGCAGGGACACCCAGGTCCCAGCCTCTCTCACAAGACCCTCCCTCTCTGCCCCCAGTCACCTCCCCCAGGCCAGACTCGGGACCCTCAGCATCCACTGCTCTGCCTCCAGAGTTTGCAGCATCCGACCTTTGTCTCCATCTCCTCTCTTTCCAGCTCACTCCCTGAACACCCATGACCCTCGACCCTGCACCTTTCCCCTCCATCCCCCTCATATCCTCACTTCTCTCCCTGCATCTCCCTCCACTCCCCCTCCCCTCCCCATGGCCAGCCCTTATATCTCCTCACCCAACAAGGTGAACCCAACTCTCCACACCCAAGCCAGGCCACACGGGGCATCATGACCGCCAGTGCCCCTGGAGCCATTTTGAATTGGTGGCCATGCCCCGAAGTGGCCCAGGAGGCAGCAGATGCTTTACTGTCTCTGTTTCCTTTTCCAGTCACATCTCTGCGCTGCCGGCAGCCTGTTGCACACCCTCCTGTCTTCTCTGCTGGGGGAGGGCGTGTAGGGGAGGAAGATCTAGTCCCCTACCCTCCAGGTCCTTCCAGCCAGGCTAAGAACTTTATTGACGTGAGACAGAACAACGGGAGAAAGTCAGACAAAGTTTAATAACATGTATCCGTGGGAGAACCCAGGAAAACTGAGAAACTCACCAAAATGACTGAAGGCACCACCTTCGATACCATCTTCAGCCACAGATGGAGGAACAGGTTGGGGGCAGTGGTTTGGGGCTTCAGAGGAGAGGAAGGCCATTCACATGGAGATGGAAAAGCAAACATTGTGTAAAAAAAGTGTTTGCTGGGCCCTCCCCATGAACCTTGCCCCAGCCCTCTCATCGGACAAGCTGCTATGCAGAGGAGCACAGGCTAGCTCCAGGAGTTGCCACCGCCAGGCTCCTGTCCAAGTCCATTTGAATGTGAAACCAATGATCCAGGACAGCCCAGATCACGGCCAGACCTCTGTCCAAGGGCCACCCCTGCGGGCCCGCCTAAAACCAGGAGGACCCCAAGGCCGCCTTCTGCTGGCCTCCGGCCAGAAGCTTGGAAGCTGCCTCCCAAGGGCAGGTAGGGCCCATGGCTGAGAGCACAGACACCCTACTCTGCAAAGACCCTGTGAGCCCCCTGACTGGCAGGGACAAGAGGAAGATAGGGCTGGATCCCACGAGCTGGTACTACCCCAGCCCTGCGGCCATTTGGCCACCTGGACACTTTACTCATACCCCACGGCACAATGCACCCCACATCACCCACACCCCAAGAACTCCACACCTCACAGCCCCCCACACCTCACACCACCCATTCCCAACGTGATGCTCCAAGCAGATTGGGGCCCTGCCCTGTGGTCCCAGGAAGGTGGGCGGGGCTCTCCTTCAGGAGCAGCTGATTGAATTTGATTTTGGAAACGCTCCTTCCAGGAGGAGGAGTGGACCCGCGTGCCCACGTCCCTGAGACATGCCTGGCTGGACTGAACCCCAGAACTCAGTGGCCCTCTCGGCCTGGCCTGAAACCAAGCTCCCAGGGGGCCCACCGAGGACCCTCACGGCAGAGAGAGATGTGAGGGGATTCCAGGAATGGACACCCTCCCCTAGGCCAGTCCTCAGCCGGGTCCAGGCACTCACCCTGAGCCTGTGTGTGACCACCCACAGGAGACACACAGGCCCACTGGGGCAACCCCTCAGCACAGCTCTACCAGGCCCCTAAACGGACTCAGGGTGCCCCCCATGGCCACTGGGCCCACTGCCCTGGAGGCTTGCCTCTGCCCACCCCTTCAGTGGGATCACACACACCCTTCCTGGGGAGACAGGGGTGAGGGTGGCAGCCAGACCACCCACCTACTCACGATCCTGGAGGAGAGAGATGCTCTGGGCAGCAGTGCAGACGGGCCATGTTCGACCCATGGGCCCTCAGGAGGGAGGGGCCCTCCTGCCACACCGAGGGCTTTTTGTCAAGGAACTTCCTACTGTGTAACTATGGCTCCTATAATTACTACCACAGTGACATTCGCAGCAGCAAAATCCTGCTGGGATCCGCTGGGCCTCAAGGCTGGAGGGGCAGCTCTCAAGGCTCAGAACCCAGACCCTCGGCCTCCAGGCCTGCTCCCAACTACTCAGCCCACAGGCTTGAGTCCAGGCACAGCTCTCACTCGCGGCTGGAGGCTTCCAAGGGCTCTGAGGTGACCACTCTGACCCCACAGTCACACGCCCAGAGCCTGGCAGGCTAGCAGAAACCGCCCTGCTCTCAATACCACCAGCCAAAGGAATCAGGAAGGGCGGAGCCTGCACTGGGCAAACTGTCAGAGGTCAGCTTCCCCAGAACCCCAGAGGCCCTCAGGGAGGCTGACAGGAGCAGATGCTAGAGCTGGGCCTGTGCTTGGCTGCATAGGAGCTCGCCCCAATGGGAGAAGCGGGGCAGGGTTAGTGGGGGGGGGGGACTACCTCAAAGTCTGCTGCGGATCCTGAGGAAGATGGGTCCGTTCCTGGGCCCCATAAACTCAGAACCCCTGCTATGAGGATCCCAGGCAGCAGAGGCCATCCTTGACCCCCCCTCAGGCCAAGCCCCGTCCCCACAGCCAGTTCACCGGCTCCATATCCAGCACAAGACTCACTTGGGCATCCACCTCCCTGGGCCTGTGGGGTGCACCCAGCCCACTGCTCAACCCCCTAAAGCCCCGGACAGGTTGGGGGCCCTGGATCCTGTTGGAAGCGCAGACAGAGCCGTCCAGCAAGCAGACCTCACTGCAGCCTCTCTGGGACCCCTGCCCCTTGGGAGCACAGTGCTGCAGACAGCGGGCAACCCGGGCTCCAGCTCCCAGGACGAAGACTGAGGCCAGCTGAGCACACGGGTGCCCTCGGCAGGCAGGGCCTCAGAGGGGGCAGCGAGAGTCTCTGGGGATGAGGTCCATGCTCACCCAGAGCCAGGGAGCGAGAGTGTCCAGGAAGCTCAGCTCAGAGACCCCAGACCAGAGAGACTTCTGTGCAGGAGGGTGCGGCCTCACGAGGCGGGCCCAGAGAGAGGAGGTGGGGGTCTCCTTGTGCCCACCACAGGGAACTGGCCTCTTGGGAGTCAGGCGGCCAAGCCCAGGCCCCTGTCGATGGGAAACCTCGCGGGTGGGACAGCAGCCCCGTCAGCAAATTCCAGCAGAGACGAGATCCAGGTGGGGGAGGTGGACCCTCTCTGGCCACACCAGGGACAGCTCCTGAGAGCGGCCTGGAGAGCAGAACAGAAACAGCCAGAACCCTGAGCCGGGCAAACCGGCTGCCACAGGGGCTGCGGGGATCCAGGGCCGCCTGTGCCGGGAGCCAGTGCTCCTCGTGTTGTGCCCGGGGCTGCCAGCCAGCGAACGCAGGAGGTCGTGTGCAGAGCCGCCCCTGGGCCCATGGAGGCTCGGGTAGGTCGTCCCCACTCACCCCGAGGTTCAGAGTAGAAACCACCGGAAACGCAGGCTGTTCCCACAGAGCCTGCCTGAACCAGCGAGGCGGAGAGGGCACAGGGCCAGGTGGAGGATTTTGTGGGGGCCTGTGTCACTGTGATGATTATTATGGTGCTATTGACTACATAACCACAGTGACACAGCCCCCAGCCAAAACGTCAGCCCGACAAACGCCCCCAGGACCACTGTGTCCGTCCCCATGCAACACACCTGACTCCTGACCAGAAATCTGTCTCGGGGTCAGAAGGCAGCTCAGGGACTGTAACTGAAGGAGACCCAGAGAAGCCAAGGGGACCCCCCACCACCCCATGAGGAGGTGGACAGGAGGCAGGGGGACAGGGGCTGTGACAGGGAACCCCAGGAGGGACCCAGAAGACCATGAGGGGCTGAGATCTCTGGGGAGGGCCTGGGGGGCGTGAGGAGAGCAGAGGGAAGGAGAGGGGCCCCCCTGTGCTTTGTCCCCTCACATAGTCACCATGTGCAGACACGCATTTGCAATGAGATTCTTTTTAAATCTAATGTAATTATATCTTTAAAACTTACTGCCTGGAGGTTCAGGGAAGGGCACCATGTCCTGGACCTGTGACTTCACGCCCTGCAGGGCTGGGCCCGGGCTCAACAGAGCCACCACCACTCGAGGGACATAGACCAGGGTCCCAGGGGCAGGGGCACCCACTGAGACTAAAGAGCAAAGACACAGCATGGTCGTGGGCAGGGACAGCGAGGTGCAGAGGAGGCAGAATCCTGGGGAAGATTCGTTCCCAAGGGCTGAAGACCCTCGGGGACATGAGCCCACAGGGCAGGCCTCAGAGAAAGGGTTAGCCCTTGGCTGTAGCATCTCCTGGGGAAGTTGAGGAAAGCAAAGACCAACACTGGCTGGGGCATCCCCAACAGATGTCAGCGCTCTCTAGAAGTTCTAGGGGTTTCTGAGGGGGGACTAGGCACAGACCAGGGTCCCTGCTCCACAGAAAAATGTCCCTGAACAAACCAGAGCTACTGGGCCTGATGAGGGTCAGTCACCCACAGTCACCATGGACTCGAGGCCCAGAGGCCACTGAGGGGCCTGAAGAGACTCAGGCTCAGCCGAGCTCCAGGCCTGGAGCCGCGAGGGCTCAGGAGGGATGTGTGCTCGGGAAGGCAGGGCCCTGTGCTGCCCCAGCAGACGTCACCGCACAGGGGCTCTGGATGCTCCAGCAGGG